TATATGCATATATATTTTGTATAACCTTGGGACTTGTACATGATCTTTGTGCTGTATATTTACAGGAGATTTTGAGGCTGATTTGGTCATGTCACCATGGGTTGTAATATAAGTATAGTTATACGTTTTTATCTTTTTGGGGTGTGTAAACCCAAGTCTTGTAATATACTAATTTGCTATATGTCTTGAAAGTTGTGTGAAGCATGAGCCGGCTGATTTCGGTACTCGAAAGCTTGTAATATTCTTGTTATTTCACCCTCGAGTGTGAGGTTAACATATTCATGAAGATCTGGCCGGTTAATTGCTTAAATGTTATATTTTTATTTTTTTTGGAGTTCGTTATGAATCTAATCCCTCTACTAGATTAAAATCAGTCTGCCCTCATTAATTGGTTTTAAATGTCGCAAGTATTTAATTAGATTTCTTGTTTAAGTAGTGGCATCGTTTTGAAAGGATCGCTACAGGCATGCTTTTCCTCACTTTTCGAATAACCCAAAAATGTCATCAACAAATACTATAACAAACAAATCAAGAAATGGTTTGAACACACTATTCATCAAACTCATGAAAGCTGCAGGCGCATTTGTCAACCCAAATGATATAACTAGAAATTTATAGTGTCTATAGCGGGTCCTAAATGCCCCTTTTTGGTATATCCTCAGGCCTAGTCTTTAACTGATGATAGCCAGACCTTAGATCAATCTTATAGAAAATTGATGCACCTTGTAATTGGTCAAAAAGATCATCTATTCGAGGCAATGGGTACTTGTTTCGAATGGTGACCCTATTCAATTACCGGTAATCTATACACATCCTCTCTTTCTAGTGATGGTGTTACCACTTTTGTTGCTCTAGTTCGGACCATAGAGTGAAGGAGGAAAGATACCAATTTGTATCACCCAAATACCAATTAGATTCAAGTCATAGCACGAAAAAGTAGAAAAAAATGAGTTTTTTTTCTAAAGTCCTACAGCCTCTCGAAGAAAAGTACGGACGTCTTCGTACCGTTCCGCAAGACTCTACTAGACTCGTTTTGGTACAATGAGATCAACGAACCTAGGACTCTGATACCAACTTTGTCACGACTCAGACCGTCGTGATTGTCACCCACACTAATCCTCCGGTGGGAGAACCATTACTACAACCAATTAAGCAGTCTTAACCAAAATACTACACATTTAAAGATAGGGAAGCATGTTTAAATGATAATAAAAAATGGAGTCCCCATGAACTCCAAAGGTTTAAACAATTAACTAACCAAACTAATGCGGAAATTCAACCCCTAGAACCTGAAAGTCATTGTACCAAAACTCTACTAACGACAAGTTCAAGAATAAGGGGTAAAACCCCGAAGCTAAACAAAACACCTTAAACAAATAGTCTAAGTCCGAAAAGGATGGACTTAAACAAGAAATATCCATGGCATCCTGAAAGAACTGGCTTACCCTTGAATCCGGTCATGCACAATAGTCACCTAGCTGAGGTCTATCAATAGCCACCTGAAGATGCCCTGTATTCAACAAAGAACAAGCAAGTGCAGTATCAGTACATAACTACAATGTACTGGTAGGATCACACGGCTATCCCAATAAGTGAAACACATGCAAGTAACCACAACATTATAAAACATGCATATATCAAACATATACAATATTAGTCATCTTTTTAGGATCAAAGTAGTATTCCGCATTCTCAATAATACACATTGGTTATCATTTTTAGAACAACAAATAATTTTTCAACCTCAATCACCATTAGATATGAATGTAATCATCACAAGTAACAAATAATCGTTCAACCTCAATCACCATTAGATATGAACGTAATCATCACAAGTAGATACACAACACATTTCAATGGTCCTCTCACGGAACCCTAGTTCAATGGTCCTCTTATGGAACCCATACCCAAACTATTAGTGTACCAGTACATGCTACCCGTTCCAATATTTATGCCGGTACGTGGCAACCGATCCAAGTTATTGTGTCGGATCGTGACACCCGTTCCAATGTTTATGTCGGTACGTGGCAACTGATCCCAGTTAGCGTGTCGGATCGTGACACCCGCACAATTCAACAAACCACAATCACAATGTATATTCTCACAATCATACAACAAGAGGTGATTTATGGCATACAATTATTTAATTATTCTCATTTACGATTAGGGTGATCAATAATGCAACATTCACATACATATATGCATTATAATGAAGCAATTACAAACATATATCACACCAACATGAAATCACAACCATCACCTACCTCGAACAAAGCTTGAATCGCCTAAAAAACTTGATTCTTCCCTTTTCGGATTCTTTCTGCTTGTTCTTGGTCTACAAACAATCATAATAACACGGGAATCAATAAAAGTGTCTAATTACTCGGATTAAAGTCAACACTATCAACTCTAGATCAACCCCATGATTCCCATTACCCAAATTAGGGATTTTCCCACCATCAAAACAGTTCCAAAACCCTTCCCCAATCGATAATTACCCATTAGTTTATGTTTTACGGATCAAAAAATGGATTCGGGGAGTTAAAACCTTACCTTTAGCCTGAGGAATGGTGGAAAATTGTCAAGAAAACACCTGGGGTCGTCTCCTAGCTCTCAAAGTTGAAACTTGCAGAATAAAATGATTTTGGGGTTTATTTCTGACTTATTTCGCGACTGGCCCACCACAACGGTCCTCACCCCGCTACAGCGACCCCACCCTGGCGGGTAGGGCTGCATATCGGTCTGTTCGGTTTGGTTTTGAACATTATCAATTTTGCTTATCAGTTATCGGTTTGTAGACTAGCTAAACCGTTAAAGAACCATTAAGTTATCGGTTATCGACCCTTATCGGTTCGGTTATCGGGTTAACCGTTAACATATCACACAATTTTTTAAAATAAAAAATCACATGAAGAATTGAAGACGATGTAATTAAACTAATTAACTCCATGTAATTAATTATTTATTGGAGATTGCAATTTGCAACCAGAAAACTGGAAACACGAAATAGAGGCAAAACATTTTCTAAGAAGCCAGTTGGATTGAAGTGGAAACAGAGGAAAACATTTTCTAAGAAGCCACTGGAAAGGAAGAAAAGTGTATTTGCAGCAGAAATATGAAGGCAAAAGAAAGCACAGAAAAAAGATAGAGATGAAGCTAGCATAAAATACCTTGAAAAAGATAATAATGCAAGCATCTCCTGGAGAAGCTCATAGAAGGTCTCCACCATAAAATGAGCTCTTAAAATATCAGTTTTTCAGCTGAAGAGACCTAAAAATCCATACCTTTTTTACATCACACTTTTACTTCTCAATTTCAATGGAAACACCGTGGTTGCGAAACTACAAAAAGAATATACTATAAACCTAATAGGCAACATGCTTTATTTGTCGAGCTACTACAAATCCACCTTTTATGCATTCAAATGTTGTAGTGATACTCCCTAATTTCAGACATAGGCAAAACCCCGGTGAAAGGCTACTGTTTAGCCTTTATTCCTGTTAGCTGCTTTGCAATATAGAGAAATCACAGTTGCAGTAAACAAGCATTAATGTGAAACTCTAAAAGTAGGTATAGAGCAATTAACTTATCTCAAAGTGTTAGTTATAAAATCTGAGTTTCCATTCAACAGTAAGAATAAGTAATCTAAGTAAATGGTCTACCTAAAGCAATCATGAATAATTTACAAAAAGCAGTAAGCAATTGCATCAACAGCTGCCACATCTTCTTCTTGAAATGAATTATCTCTCATCCAATAGTTAAAGAAACTTGGAATCAGCCACTAAGAAATAAATCTATTGGTACAATGTTTAAATTCAAAAAAGAAAGGTGTCACCATGAAACTATCGTTTTCGTGCTTTCCTACGCCTAGATTCTGTTTTCTGCCATTTCTTTCTACGTACCAATTTGCTCTTTGGTTTCAGTTTTATTTCAGGAGAGAACTCAAAGTTTGGATCTCTCATACGAGCTTGTATGTCTTTGAAGAATTGCATATTCAATTTCTTAGGTCCTCCCTGTCTCAATTCAGCACAAAATAATGTCTTTCAATTGACAATCATCCATAATTCCCTCGGCATAAATGCAATATAATAATAAGACACAAGATAAATATGAACATCTACTGAAAATAGCCTACAAGTTAGCATGTAATTACAAATAACCAGCAGACCCAACAAATATTTTAGTGTATACTATCTACAAATTGAGAGAAGGTGCAACAACTACCTCTTGTCTATTAGATGAGATGTCCCTTTCACCTTTGTCTTTCTCCTTCTCCTCTTCCTCGTTCAACACAACAACAACACCCGTAAGGCCTAGCCGTCACCCAACTCTCAACACAACACAACACCCGTAAGGCCTAGCCGTTAACAACACTTGTATAATTACAACTAACATTGAACAATCAACACCAAACACTCAGCAGCCAGCACAACAGCAAGCCAACAACTCATAGTCTCATATCCGCACACAATATCACAATTCAATCACTTAATAGTTAATACCCAACAGACCAACACTCAACACAAGTACACAATGTCACAACAACAATAGGCCAATCGGCAACAGCCACAACAATCAACACTTAACACAACAACACTTACATAAAATTTTCAACACAAATATGAAATATAATAATAAAATAATGGAATAAAACTGCAGCACTACAAGCTGCAAGCAGCCAAGCCTGCAAGCAGCCAAGCCTGCAAGGCTGCAACATTGAAGAAGTTAAAATGCAGCACAACATAAAGTCATTGCCAGTCTGCCACAACCCACACATGCACAAACAGAATTTCAAAAATTCAAAATAGCAGTCACACAACCTGAAAATTAAGTCCAAACATAGTACTAAAAGTTCACATTCAAGTAAACAAAATAATAACTAGTCATCAATCCTTAAGAGTTGACGATTCTGGTTCCTATTTTCCAAACAACGCTTAACATGCTTCCTTAAGGAGGCAGTCCCAGTTTTGCGTGAATGGTGATAAGTAACACGACCACAATGAACACATTTTACTGTCCACGATCCATCTTCTTTTTCTTCAAGCTTTTCATAGTGATTCCAAACAGGTGATCGAGCATTAGAACCATGAAATCGAGGCATGATGAAATCTGATTGACAAGGAAACAGAGAAAGTATTAGATATTTTGATGGCTAAAAATGAAAGAAAAGTCAAGATAAACTGATGAAGAACACTAAGTTCTACAGGGAGCTTGTTTTGCACAAGTATTTGTATTAACCATAATTTAACACACTCATTAGTCATCAGAAAAGAGAAGTCAATCATAAATCAGACATAAAGACAAGATAACCCATGTATATAAAAATCCACCTCAATAGTAAGACATCTACCTTCCTTCTCCTTTAGTAGAGTTAGTGAAGGAAACCTCCAATTTTACATGTCATCAATGCAAAGTTCTTTTCCAAGTTTAGCCAAATCTAAAGAGAAATATGATAACAGGTCAAGGCTCAAGGCTTAAAAAATATAAATATTAAATAAACTATTCACAATTTTACATCAATGAGGTTCTTTTCTTACCTTCTTCAAGTTGCTCAAGAAAATCTAAATCTTCCTCAATACTTATGGTTGTGGCTCACTCCGAAGCCAATCTTGAAGGCACACTAGAGCTTGTACCAATTTAGGAATTAATGAACTCCTAAATGAATCAAGTATGCGCCCTCCAGTACTAAAAGCACATTCAGACGCCTCACTTGAAACAGGAATCGCCAACACATCTCGAGCCATCTCAGAAAGAAGTGGAAATCTAGGTGAGTTAACTTTCCACCAAAGCAATACATCAAAATCTGATTTTCCAACTTCAATTTCTTCATCAAGATATTTAACTAATTCTGACTTTGAACTTGCTCCTCCCCTTTCAGATGTATGTTTTTGTAATTCCTCAAAATAAATTCCCAAGCCTCCTACGGACCTTGAATCAGAAGTATCCACCTCAATTGAAGAACATTGGCCATTTTTATCATTTGAAATAGGTTTTGTATACTCATTAAACAAAGATTCCATGTACGTTCGCACACCAATTTCTACAGCAGCCCCCTTTTCTCCAAACATCTTCTTAAGTGCAAAGCCAAGAGTGCTAAATTTGTGACGAGGATTCAAAACACATGGTATGAAAACCATCTTATTCATTTTTTCAGTATCACCCCAATATTTGTCAAATTTTTCATTCATATTTTCTGCCATTTTAGCCAAAACATGATCTTCATTTGATATCAATTGATTCAAGTAAACACCAACTTGACAAAATTTCAAAGAAAAATGAAGATTTGATGTAACATATCGTGATCCAGATATCTTCAAAGTAAGATTAAAAAATATTTCAAGAAATTTTGTATTTCTCTTTACGCCCTCCCAATCACTACTCAAAAAGTGTACCTGTAGAATTTTTTATCCACAATATCAATAAACTTAAGATGTAGTGCCAAGCCAATATCACGATCGACGTACTCGACAATTGCACCTTCATATTCAATAACCCAATTCAACATCATGTACGTGGAATTCTACCTTGTAGGAACATCCAAGCATAAAGACTTTTTAGCAAGATTTTCATCTTCACAATATTCTTGAAACTTTTTCCACCTAGCAGGAGATTGCCTGATGTATCTCACTACTTGCCTAACCCGTTCAATACACACATTTGCTTCTTTTGTACCGTCTTGAACAATAAGATTTACAATATGAGCCATACACCTTATATGAAGGTGACTACCACCCATTAGGTTGGTCCCCCATTTAGTTAGTTGCTTAGACAACTCAGTTATTGCCACACTATTTGAACCAGCATTATCAATTGTAACATTGAAAATTCGTGCAATCCCCACTCATGTAAGCACTTACTAATAGACTTTCCAAGATCTTCACCTCTATGACTAGAGATTGGACAAAAAATGATAATTCGTTTATGCAAAGTCCAATTCTTATCAATCCAATTAGCAGTAATTACCATATAATCGATTCTTTGAATGGAAGTTCAAGTATCCGTGGTTAAAGACACCCTTTGTTGTGTTTCCTTAAAAACAACCATCAACTTATGTTTTTCTTCATAAAAAAGATCAAAACAATCACGAGTCACCGTGGTACAGGAAGGAATGTGGAAACAAGGTTGTGCTACTTTCATAAATTGTTTAAAATCTTCCAGTTCAACAAATTTGAAAGGAAGTTCATCAATAATTACCATACGACACAAGGCCTTTCTACACTTTTCCTGGTCAAATTTCCATGGAACAACAACTACATCACCTTTATTACCCCCTATCATTGGTTGAAATGCTAATTTTGATTGTTTAATATCAATATTATAAGGCATCTTTGGGCATTTGGTTATATGAGTAAGCATTGACGTCGTACCATGTTCTTTTGTGTCAGCAAAATACTCTCTCTTACAGTAGTTGCAAACACCCTTTTCACTTCCATCAGAATCAGTTTTATGAGAAAAATGATCCTACGCACGAGATCTTTTTTTCCTTCCTTTCATTACTTGGGACTCAACAGTTTGACTTTGACCTATTGCATTTGAATTAGAAGCTCCACTTTCACCAACAACCTTATCAATTATTATATTTTCAGCCATGATACTTTCACCAAAAACTGCGAAAAGATATAAAATAATCGTTTATTGAACTATTTTTTATAAGAGGTCGATGAAGCATCCTTAACACTCAACACAACATTTTTCAACACAAATATGAAATATCATATTAAAATAACGAAATAATACAGCTGCACTACAAGCTGCAAGGCAGCAACATTGCAGAAGTCAAAATGCAGCCAAAAATAAATTCACTGCCAGTCTGCCACAGCCCACACATGCACAAACAAAATTTTAAAAATTCAAAATAGCAGTCACACAACCTGAAAATTAAGTCCAAACATAGTACTAAAAGTTCACGTTCAAGTAAACAAAATAATAACTAGTCATCAATCCTTGAGAGTTGACGATTCTGGTTCATGTTTTCCAAACAACGCTTAACATGTTTCCTTAACGAGGCAGTTCCAGTATTGTGTGAATGGTAATAAGTAACACATTTTAAGTAACGTCGATTAAACTATTTCAACTTTAAGTATATGATTCAGCAATAACTTAGAGCTGAAAATATATCAACTTTTAAACTCATACTTAACAAAGGAAGACAAAAAGACCTTTCTACTTTATCATTCTTCCTCTGTCTGACCAGAAAAAAATCACATTTTTTCTCAAATTTATAGAGAGCTTCCCTGAAAATCAGTTTTGTATTCATAATTAGAGAAACAAAAATCAAATCAAATCCAAAGATGAATACAATTGATCCCTTTATCATATAACAAACCCACAATATGTAATAACTCAAGACTCGAAGAATCCCAAAAAATCAGCACAATGAATCAATAAAATTGTGACTCGTTGAGACATTGAGTTGTCGTTGTTACCTCGCGTCCTCGCCTGACTGACTGGAGCAGTTGTCGGATTGTCGCCTCGCCGGATGTCAAGCAGTGGCACAACGCCTCGTCGGAGTTTGGACTTTGGAGAAAGAGAGCAGTCGCGACTGCCGATGCCCGATGGTGAGAACTGAAGAGTCAAGAGTAAAAACGTAGTCGTAAAAAGTAAAATGTAAAAACCCTAAGTCCTAACTGAGAATTGGAAAATAGAAAATTAGGAATAACAATTAGGGGTCTTATCGGGGTATCGGGTACCCCAAATGTTTTCCTTCCCAACCCGGGCCCCGACCCGTTAATCCAATAACATGAATTAGTAAACCGACCCCCAACCTAATAACCCAATACCCCGACCCGTTAGCCTAATAAACCAAAAATTGGTTCGGGTTAATGGTTTGATCCGAATTTTGCACAGGCCTACTGGCGGGAATAATCCCGCCATAGCTACTTGCACGGAAACAGTGAGTCGAATTAAGAGTTCCAAACCCCCATTTCACAACACACCTTCATCCCATGACACTCAGAACATACCCGTTCACGCTAAGATCAATTTCGAGAGTTCTACGTTCTCGAATTTAAATCCTTAAAGTCATACGTGTTCCTTAACGTCTTAGCTATCTACTCATGTGATCAAAATCATAATTAGATCACACAATTGTTACAAGATTTCCCTAGACTCGCCTGACTTCGATTTCGTCCAAATCTGGACTAGGATAGGAAATTCCAAGTTACTACTTAAAAGTTTTCTGGCCCCAATTCTTTCCCCATTGGCGTTTCCCTAACGACGAAATCATGTCGTTACAATAGATACCAATTTACCCATCACTCGTGCCTGAGTGATCAACTAGGAAAAACTGGTTAAAGTAAGGGTAGAATAGTATTTGAATCGTCGAATTATTGGGAATACTTGTCTCGCATGTCCTTCTCGATTTCCCAAGTAGCTTCCTCAACCGGACGATGCTTCCATTGAACTTTCATGGACTTTATCTCCTTGGTCCTCAGACCAACCAATTGAATACCTACACATCCTCCCATAAAATGACTCAATGAAGTCATTACAATACTCGAGTGATATTTATTATTGTATGTACACTTAACTAACAATAAAGTTATTCCCAATATCCACCAAAGTTGATCGTACACGTGTATGCAACATGTTATCAAGGTCTTTGACACAACCATCAGGATGAATTCTTTCTCACATAACCATGATAAACTTCTAAATCAATACTCGCAATAATTAGAGGTGGACTTGAACCAACCAACACTCACTCATAATACTCAAACAATCATAGTTCTTATCAACATCTCCTTCTCACAACGTAAATTTCCATGAGCTTAAGTTATAAAAAATTTATCTTTAGACATCAGATACTCATCGAGGGATATGTCCAAGCATACAAACCCTCTAACAACACTATCGAGAAGTTAGATTTAGTAATTGTTGTTTACATCTTAAGAACAGTAGAATTGGACCCAATGACCCCCACAATCAACCACACACAATCAATACATGACCTTGACGACTAGGTGAATATTAAGATTGTCGTACAACCACAAATACGCATGGTAACTCTTCTATGAATTCTCATAAGTCAGGTGGTACATGTAGAACCACTAAAATACTTTAACAACTCCATGACAACACCAAATATGTCATATGAAATAACAAAGTCATCCCAATCATCTCACTCAACCATGAGAACATCGCATGATCGGTACACCTGATCCACCACTAGGGATCCACCCACAAAAGTGAAAACACACGCGAGCATAGCTAGCGACTCATACTCACAACCATGTACAAAATGAAATAGAATAACACTAAAGGTTTTCCTGTGAAGAGTCGATACCAACCATTTCCATTCACTTGACTCCACATACTCTTCACATCCTTCCACTGAAGCCCACACTCTCAATACTAACAACCATCATAACCACTCTGACCATTTACCTTACTCTAAACCAACACTTTTTAAATGAAAACCTTTCTTAGATACTTTAACAATCAAAAGTAATAAACTTTACGACTCAACCCAGGTGTAAGTCCTTTCAAAGGTTCAATACCTGATACAATTGATCATTTTTCGCCTTACAAATTCATACCTTGACAAAATATATCTTTGTAGTGATGAAAGGGGGAAAAAACCT